AATAGAAATTTGTTTCTAAATGCCTCAGAAACCATACTACGTCGTCAAAGTGCCGAAATATTGCACTCTGCATGTGCAGTAAAATTGACATAGGCGGCTCATGTACGTATCGCAATGCTGACACAAAATAATTAATTACTCATTACCCGAACATTATTTATGAACTTTTATGATCGAACCATGTAAATAATGCATTGCTGACCATTCTTTAATCATAAAAGTTCATGGGCTGTGCTCAGAAAGTGAGTAATTAACGATTTTGGATACTCATTGTCGAGTATATTCCTCCTACGCGCCGTCCGCGCATGCCACGGAGGAATAATTACCGAAAAACCATATCCTCCTAGACTTTAATGCAAAATTGAATTTGCTCGCGCTTATGTACTTGACTTTTCAACTTTTTTGTCCACACCTCAATCAAACAGACCTAGAGTACGTAGTACTGTACAGCACGAAGCATTTACTTAGCGTCAGGTATTGTCCATCAAAAAATAACACTTTAATTTTCATCGAAATAATTTGCGCAGTTATTTTTTTTTCTAACAAAGGTTAGTATATAAAGTAGGAAGATTTAAATGATCTCGATAAATGAAAGAAAAAATTAAAGGTACAGAAATTTTTACATCTAAATTCTAACGGTTCAAACAACGTAAACAAACTAACTCATACCGTCTAAAAGTCAGAGACAAGATAAGTCAAATAAAACAATGCATCTCTAAATAAACTTATTTAGAGATAAGGTGATGTATAAAAATAGAAGCAGCCAGGCGGGTGCGATCAGACCGGAAGACCAGAAGATCAGAAAGCCAGAGGAGCAATTCTCAGTTCGAACCAGCTTTGTAATATGATTCTACATATCAACAACACATCTGAAATTCATTGTAACGTTTAATATCGCAGTTATCGAAATAAAGTTTTTTCAAAACCCTCTTCACAAGACCTTGTTTGTAACAAAATAATTTTTTCTTACAAATTTCCCCAAAAGTGAAGTTTCATATAAACAATATTTAATAGAATCGATAAAAATCTATAACATATTACACAAAAATATGACGTTTTATCGAATACAATTTTTCCGAATGTAAAGGAGTCTGATTCGATCCATAGAGCCGTTAGCGCATGCGCAATACTATTTTCTGGTTCTGCGCATGCGCGCCTTCAGTGTCTTTCACCTCGAGTTTAGGTTTCGTTGTTGCTCGTCCTCTCAATAATGGGAATAAAAAACCGGAACATTAAACTGAATCAGAACACGAGATTTGTTTGAAAAAAGGCAATCATGCGATGAAGTTTGTCAGATAATAGGTGGTTCGAAGGAACTGCCGAAGATTCTGTGTCAATTAACAATCGAAAAGGTTCGTCTTTTGTTGTGATACTGTAAACAGTAATTTAATATTTTTAAATGCACTTAATGAATTGCAGTCAATAAATGAATAAAAAAATAAAAACGAGTTCGTTATATATTCTTTTTTTTGTTTCATAGTTTTTTTTTTAATAATAATACATAAACAATATGTTTGAATTTTTATTTTTGTCTCTGTTTTTGTTTTAGTAAATAAGATATGGTGTTTTTATTTTGTTTAGAATTTAGAGCTCACAACCTTAGTCTTTATATATTTTATGTCCACATGTAATCTGCTTGTTAATATATTTTTTATATGTAATTTACTTATTTCTATTTATAGTAGAATTTTATAATCATACATTTTGTTGTGAAATATGTTTACTATAAAATTAACATTTTTTAAAATAATTTAATAGTTTAATTGTTTAAGAATTTAATAGTTGAATATTTTAATAATTTAATAATTTAATAATTTAATAATTTAATAATTTAATAATTTGATAATTTGATAATTTAATAGTTTAATATCTTAATAATTTGATAGTTGAATAGTTTAATATTTAAATAGTTAAATTCCTTTAACAATCATTTGTGTAATTAATCATTATAAATAATATTAAAATTACACACAGTTATTAAAGAACAAAATAAAATTCAAAGTACACTTTTTAATTACAGATGTGGTCACGCAAGTTGGAATGCATTTGCACGAAAATCTTCTTTGTTTTTTCGACCTTGACTGTGATACAATGCTACAGTGTGCCATGTACATTCAACACAATGTGCATGTGTTGGGTTCAAGACGACGAAGATTTCACGAAAATGGATATTACTTGTATGGGCATACCTTTTGCTAGATTCCCAGGTATATTGTTATATAGAAAAGTATATACATTAACGCAAAAAAAATTTTTTTCCGAATTTTTAATTTCTGAACTTTTATAATTTGCAATTTCTGATTTTATAAATTTTTGGAATTTATAAAATATGAAAGTAACAAGTTATTAAGTTGTAAAATTGATAAATTCTCAAATTCCAAATTCACAAATTCTTAATTTTCCAAACTCTTAAATATCTAAATTTTTAAATCCCAAATTACCAACTTTCCAAATTGTAAAACTCAAATTTAGAATTTGTGAACAACTAAGTCTCCATATCCCCAATTTCTAAATTCTGAAAATCCAAATTTCCAAAATTTCAAAATATCAAAATTCCAAATTTTCCAAAATTTCAAAATTCTAAAATTTCCAAAATTTCCAAAATTTCAAAATTCTAAAATTACAAAATTTCAAAATGTCAAAATTCCAAATTTCCAAAATTCCAAAATTCCAAATTTCCAAATTTCCAAATTTCCAAAATTCCAAATTTCCAAAACTTCCAAATTTTCAAAATTCTAAAATTCCAAACTTTCATAACTTCAAAACTTCAAAATTCTAAAATTTCTTACTCCTCCCTTCAGATGTATTAAGTACATCTAATAAACTTAATATTAACTTTTAATGAATTCTTCATAATTCACTAAATAGAACCTAATTTAATAATTACAGACGTTTCTGTAAATTATGTGGCTCAATTGGACGTGGTTGGTAGCGGATTACAAGCGATGGACAACGACGCACTCGCAAGCTCAGTTGGGGTCGAAGCTTTAGGGTTGATGAGCAACAGATTGTCCAATATTGGTGACAAATCTTTTTCGTAAGTTTCTATCATTACTATCACCGAAAATATATCAAAAGCAAAAAATTTAACCAAATTTCACTAAAATTTATAAAAAGTTCTCAGAACTTTTTTTCAAACAAATTATTTTCTGTTTCTTACATTTATCTTTATAATCTTTTTAAAACAAACAGAGATACTAAAATTTATATTTTTGTCACTATTAGGCGAATTGCGGACAGTTTACGTTCATTGGACCTCAGCTACAACGCCTTGGAGGATGTACCTTTCAATGTTTTCCACGATTTAAAGAAACTCAATTGGCTCAATATGCACAGGTAAATAAATAACAGATGCAGGTATGAAGCATTGTTTCGACGCCATACTTCTACCTAACCTAACCGAAATCTAATGGCGGCCACTTAACCTTAGATTCACGCACGTTTAACGACTTCTATTTAAACTGAAACTAAATTGCAAAAATAAATAAAGGATACGTAAATTAGCTTATAAAATTGATCTCGACGAAGGTCATTTTGACAAAAGCTTCTTAATTTTCGTAACTGAAAATAGGAAATCTAAGATCCGTCATTTTCACGGGTTCCGTAATGTGTCAAGCTGGCTAAAGTATGAAATCAAATATTTATCGCGAGACTTTTGCAAAGTTTAAATGAGTTGTTCCAGGCTGAGGAGGATTAACTTCGTTGTTCATTTTTTGAACGAGTGATTAAATACCGACTTTGACCGCCATTTTGTGCATTAGTTGGCAGCCATGTTCAGGGTATAAAATAATGGCGGTCATTTAGATGGACCGAAGTCTGAAATACTTGTGACGTTTTGTGAACTTAAAATGAATCATTAGAATATTTGATAAATATTGAAATATTAGTATTGAATTAATAGGATAAATATATTGCTCTTTACTTGTTGCATGAGCGATTAAATAAATACTGACTTTGACCGCCATTTTGTGAATTTATAGTAACCGTGTTTATGGTAGAATTTAAACACAGTAAAATTTGAATGAAATATCTGTTGTGAATTACCATTTTGTGAACTTAAAATGTGGAATTATAAAAATAATTATTAAAAATATATTGAATATTTATTAGTATTGAATTAGTAGAAACTTTGCTATTCATTTTTCAGATACAATCAGTAATTTAACAGACACTTATGTTGACTACCATTTTATGAATTAATTACCGGAATAGGATACAAAATGGCAGTCGTTTAAATGGACTGAAGTTTGAATGTCTTCATTTACAGCAATCACTTAACGACACTGGATGGCGACTGGGGTCACACGAGGGACACCCTGACGAACGCCTTCTTCGGAGACAACTCCATCATCGAGATACCAAAAGTCTTCTCCACATTCGAGTCCCTGGTCTGGCTGAACCTCGACAACAACAACATCGAGGAGATCTCGGAAGAAAGTCTGCCCCCCAACATGCACACGCTCAGCCTAAACAGCAACCTCCTTAAATCCTTCCCCCAATCTTTGAAGATGCTGAAGGACCTTACATGGTTGTACTTGCGAGGCAACGATTTCAAGAACCTCGAGCTGCCCGATTTCCAAAGCTCGAACCTGGAACTAGTAGATGTCAGTGAAAACTGCATCGAATGGATTCACACGTCGATCCCCAACAATCGATCCCTGAAGATCAAGGACTTCAATTTGGACAGCAACAAGCTCACCTCCTTGACCGCTGGAATGTTCGATCGTCTGGAGACGAAGAGAATTCATTTGTCCTCGAATTCGATAAAAAACATCGACGAGGACGCCTTTCGGGGGCTCGAGAACGTTCTGGAGTACTTGAATCTGGAAAATAACGATCTGCCGAACGTTCCTAGCGCTGTAGGTCACTTGAGAAAGCTGTCTTACTTGTATCTGGCTAACAATGATATCAGAAACATTTCTGGAGAGGCGTTTCAAGAATTCGCGGAGAATCTTAGGGCACTTTCGCTGGCTACGAATAGTTTGGATGCTGTGCCGGTTGCGGCTTTGTCCAGGTGGGGTTTGTTGACTTATGTAGGTATATGAAGTTCTAGAAGTTATTAGCAAATTTTTATAATGTATTTTGAGAAGTTAAAATAGTTTTTAGTTATGTTGTGAATATTTGTTATTTACTTTAGTGGTTCTTGATTGGTTTCGATGACATTGAAATATGTTACTAAGGTCAATGTTCTGAAGAATTTTTGTTTGTATGTTTTATTGCTATCTGGTCTTTGTTTTTCAAATATTTGCAAAAAGGTTTGGTTAAGTTTTACTTCAGTTGCAATTACGTTTTGCGTCGCATGGTTGCTATTTGTTTCATACAGCATAATCTAACCTAACCTAACATGGTGACTTAATTACATCATCCACTTATCGACTAAGATAAGAATAATTAGATATTCCAGTTGTTTTAAAGGGAGAGAGCTATGGTGTAAGATATAGTAGGTAATCATAACCTAAACATAACCTAACCTAACCTAAACCTTAACTCAACCTAACCTAGCATGGTAACTTAATGACACATTCACTTATTGACTAAGTTAGGTGAAGTTTGATATTTCATTTGCTTTAAAATGAAAGAGATATGGTGTAAGATATAATAGCTAATCATAACCTAACCTAAGCTCTAACTCAACCTAACCTAACATGGTAACTTAATTATATTATCCACTTATTCACTAAGTTAGGTTAAGTTAAATATTTTAATTGCTTCAAAAGGAGAGAGATACAGTGTAAAATGTAATAAATAATCATAACTTAACCTCAACCCTAACATGTTGCTTTCTATCACTATAATATATAGTACAATTATCTACTATAACATAGCAACTGTTTGATTTATTTCTTCTAAACAATATGTGTAATATAATATTGTTATGAATACTACACAACATATATGTTATTATATAACAATATAAGTCAAGGTTAAATATTGCATTAAATGGAAGATTTAATGCAATCAAAACAATGTTCCTATTAAAATGTTTAGAATTATTTATTAAACAAGAAATGTACAGTGAATGCTATAATTTTAATGTCATTTTCTATTTATCAAAAACTTCATGCAATAATTATTGTTTAATTATGTTTGATATTTTTCTGTAATAGATGCCAGAGGCTGCTGCATCTGAATCTAGGTTACAACAAAATCTCTCATATTCAACCCGGTGACTTTGAATGGGCAGAGGACCTTGAGATTCTGTTGCTTAGAAACAATATTCTGACCAAACTGAAAGGGGAGACCTTCAAAGGGGCGAGTAAGTGCATTCTATAAGGTATTTTAACACTTGAAGTCAAGGTTTCATTACTTACAAATTTTATATTATTAACAAGAAACATGTACCCAATTTGTAACATGTTTCACATTATATCCAAAAAGTTTCACTCAATGCTTCATTCAAGATATTTTAAATGATCAGTTGCTACTTATTTACTATCAGACTTTATTGGTAATATCATTTGCAGGTAAGCTGAAAGAGCTCAGTTTGTCCTTCAACCACCTGACAGAGCTGGACGATGACTGTTTCGTGGGCATCGAAGAGAGTCTGGACATTCTAGAACTGAGTTTCGCCTTCGCCACCGACGTTTTCCCTCAACGAGCGCTCAGACCTCTCTCAAACTTGCTCTGGCTGGTTCTGGACAACAACAATTTCCAAACGATCGAGGCCACCGCGTTTTACTCCTTCCAACAGTTACGTTACATCAACCTGGAATCGAATCGACTGCATTATTTACCGGAACGAATATTTCTATCGAGCGTCCATCCCGAGTTAAGGGACGTGAAGCTCGGTTACAATTTCCTGGAAGCCATCCCAGAGTTCAGTTTTCATAACCTCACCGAGTTGAGGTCTCTCGATTTGACCGGGAATCGAATAAAGCTGCTCGGTTCCGATTCTATCATGGACTGCCCAAAATTAGTCACCATATCACTGGCTTATAATCGAATCGTCAAAATGGAGAAAAATGCTCTGTATGGTTTACCCAGCTTGCGTTTCCTTCATTTGGAGTTCAACAAGTTGACGGTGTTGGACTTGGACGCCATTGCTGAAATCGGAGGCCCGGATTTCGCTCTGAACGTCTCCTATAACGCCATTTCTTTGATAAATTCCGGAGGGTCCATGAATAATCTGACGAGGCTGGATCTGAGCTTTAATAATATCAGTCAGTTACCTGCCGACACGTTTTATGGCACGCCGGATTTGAGGAGTTTGGATTTAGAAAGCAATTTCATTGTTGTTCTTGAACCAGGTAGGATTTGAGGAGTATTAGACAATTTTTTAAGCTTCCTATTAACTCTTCAAATCTTCTACTAAATTTCTTCTTATCAAAAATCACTTGCACTTTATAGGTACATTCGCCCTAAAGCACCTGGAAACACTGAACTTACGAGACAATAAGGTAGAAAGTTTACGAAAACAATCGTTCCACGGTTTAGATTCCTTACAGCAGCTCGATATGAGTGGAAATCAGCTGAGTCAATTAGCGACGGAGCAATTCCGCAATTTAAAGAATCTACGAATCCTCAATTTGTCGGGCAACAAGATAAGATCTCTGCCCAGAGACGTCTTCGAGGGAACGAAGCTGGAGATCCTCGACTTGAGCAACAATAAATTTACCGTCGTGCCCTCCCCATCTTTCCTGGAGGTTGGATACACGCTGAGAGACCTGAATCTAGCTGATAATTTCGTGGACCACCTGGACTCCACTGCTTTTCCAACTTCGCAGTTGGTATCCCTGAATCTGGCACATAACAGGCTGACTATTCTGCCAGACAACTCTTTCGTCTCTCTGGGCAAGCTTCTGAGCTTGAACGTGTCGCAAAATGTACTTCAAGCAAACTTCAAGGAGCTGTTTCATTATTTGCCTGGACTCCGGCAACTGTATCTGGCTAACTGTGGTCTTAAAGATATTCCACTCTTGCCACTGACGAATCTAAATGTCCTGGATTTGTCGTTCAATTATGTGGACTCCACTAGTGATAAACAGTTTCAGTATATGAAAAATTTGAAGATTCTTTTGCTGGTGAACAACTCGTTGACTTCCATGCCAAACGTGAAGCTGAATCTGCTGAGGGAACTTGATGTATCTGGAAATCCGATAGAGGTGAGCTGTTTGAATGTTGATGTATTTATAACAAATGTATTTGGAGTGTATGTAACATAATTCTTCTTTGTTCAGGAACTAACAAAAGAGAGTTTTCTGAGTTATCCAAGGCTAGAAAAGCTGAACTTGAGGAACCTGAATAAAACAAGGTCTGTGAACAAGGATTGTCTTCGAGTGTTGAAATACTTGAAGCATCTTCGAATTCAAACTTGGCCCGAAGCAGATGGTTTTCATCTTCGTTTCCTGTTGACTGGACTGCCATTGAGAACTGTAGAGATTCAGGTCACTGAACACTTGTTGAAACATCAGATACAGAATGTCTTCTCAAAACAGTTGAGAGAGTTAACAATTTCTGGGAGTGATCTTGAAGTGATCTCTTCGGAAGCATTTTCTACAATTGAAGGTGGTGAACTGATACTAAGGATCAAGGACACTAGAGTTCGTAGACTACAATCTGATATTTTTCTCTCATTGACCAAGAGATTGTCCCAACTGACTTTGGATTTGAGGAACAATCATATAAACGAGCTTAGTCCTTCCATCATTTATGGAAATCTATCGTGGGAAAGTGTTGGCACCAATATGGTTGCTGGTGAGTGACACTAAATGTTATACAAGATGTCCCAGTTTTTTATCACCAAACTTTATATAATGTACTCTATTAGTAAAAGTAACAAAGGAATGCTATATGAACATAAGGTTTCAAACACTTATCCAATTTAAAAACTGATAAATTTACAAGTTGTCAAAGCTAACAAAATTGCGAATACTCTAATTTATACATGCAGATATTTTCAAATTTTAGAAATTATAAGTTCTCAAGTTCTTAAACTGAAAAATTTTGTTTTAAAATTTTTAAATCTCCAAAGTTCCATGTTTATAAATTTTTAAGTGTTTCTTCCTACATACATTGCCAATTGCACTGGAAATGCAATAATAACACAAGAGAAATCAATTACTATTTATTAATTTTCATAAATATCACTTATCACAGATATCATTAATTTAAAACACTAACTAAAAACGTTAAAAGTAGCGTCCACATTCACCTGGGGTCCTCAAGCTGTCCTCTACAGCCCTGCCGCCAATATCCCAATACGCCAATGCAGGATTAAGCGAAGTAAAATAAAGTTAAGAGATTATACCGTGTTCCAGGAGGATTACAAGTGTCCGGAAATCCCTTAGAATGCGACTGCGAAATCGCATGGCTCAGCCTGTGGTTGAGAAGATGGCTCCGGGAATCCCGACAAATTCACACGGCATCTCAATCGGACGCCAGACAACTGAGAACAATAGCAGGAAGAGCTGTCTGCACGGAAACTACGCCATCCCATTCATCCGACAAAGTTTTGTTGACTTTAGGAACGCCTCACACTGCCTGCCAAGCATCAGCCCTTAGTTCGGGGAATTACGAGAGATTAGCGACTACCTGGTTGGCCTTAGTAGACGTTGTCCTCCTAACGATAGTTGCGTACTGAGTCCAGACACTTTTTGAACGATCATACGGGAGTTGAAAATTAATTTTGTACCAATTTTTATTTTGGCATGGACTACAAATGTAGAAGATTAATGTCTTTATTCTTGAGATGGATTTAGGGATCCCTAGATGAATAGTAGAAAGCAGCAATATCAACAGTCATATCTATTTTATTTATTTAACTTTTTCCAGTACGGTTTATTGGTTTGTTTTCTTTTTCTCACAATATGTTTGAAAATAGTAAATTGTTTGTAAGACATCTTCAATATGGTTGACAGTCTTTAATAGTGTAAAGTGTGTTAAAATGCTGCAGTATGAAATGTTTTATAATTTTATACTAACAATAAGATGGAGTAGATGGCGCTCGTGTTCCAAGTCACAGTCTTGCTATATCTGTAGTCACTGATTTTGGTATTTGGATAATGGTGTGCTTGGTAAGTTGTCAGTTAAGTTAATTGCATCAATTTCCGACTGCCATCTTGATATCTTAAGTTGAGTGAATTGTATCAGTTTTCAACTAATAGATAAACACATATCTTTACATATGTATAAAGATTTTGTAGGTTAAAAGTTGTAGGACACTTATTGAATTATCACGTAGGGTTTAAAGACAATTGAAATTGTTAAAATGGTTACAATTTGTTGGAAAACAAGGTAGTTTTTAAGTTTCTTCTGATGACCTTGAGATAATGGATGATCTTGACATTTTTATATATAGTGTGGTAAAAAATAATTTGGTTGGAAAAGGTTCTAAGTTGCTTTTCATAGATTTTAATGAAGTTTTATTTTATTATACTTTCATGTCTGAAATAAACATATCTGTGATTTTAATCTTAGAATGGTAACTAGTTATAAAAAATATGTTTGTTTGGAAAACATTGCATATCAATAGAAATACAGTTATTAGCCATGTGTTTTTAATATTGACTTAGTTATGGAATATTTCAATTTTTTAAAGGTCTTTTGTTATCAATATGTAATTATGTATTTATTTTTAACAAAACATTTTTATAAACAATGTGTAACATATACATATCTATACTTCAAGGCAATATATTTTATTAACGATAAATAAAATATTATTTATTGTTAGTTTTTAATAAAATGTTAAAAAAAAAATAGTGTATACATATCTGTACTTTAAAGTAAAATATTTTATGAATGATAAATTAAATATTTTTTTTTTTAATTTAGGATAATCATTATTTAAAATAAAGAATTAGGATATTTTCAATTTTATATAAATGGAATTTATACTTGTGTGAATATGATGTATATAAATAGTAAGAGGATGTCATAGATATAGAATTCATTTCTGTTACCTTAAATTATTTAATATTTGTTAATAAATTTATGTTAACAAATATATTACTCGTGTGGATGTTGAAATTAAAATTACAATAATTACAGTGATAGATCTTTTTTTTCTTTTCAGTTCTTAACTTTTTATTTCTACTGTACAAATAATCTATTATAACAGAAATTATGAATCTAAAATTTTATTATAATTTAAAAAAAATTATTAAGTAATATATTCTTGTTTTAGGAACAAGTTACAGAAACTTATATTTTATAAACTTGATTATTTAACTTACCTCTGTTTGTCACAAGATTGTATATCATAACAATTAATGATAAAGAAATATATCAAAAAAAATCTTGAAAATAATTATCAATAACTTTAATAATTTATTAATTTGTATCATTTTTCAAAATTACTTTTTCAAACATTTTACGTATTTGCCACTTAATATTGTCCCCAGTTAAATTTTTGTTACAATTTACTGCAATTAAATTTATTAAACAAGTTCATAAATTTTGTTCTTAAATATTACGAAAATTTTGGGCAATTTTAATAATAAATTGCACAATGAGAATAAAACAGTCAATTATTTATTTTAAACATAAGAAGCAAATGAAAAAATTCTTATTAGAACTGAAACTTAATAAAATATGTGTAAATTGTTTTCTAATATATAACAATTTCCTAAAATAATTTTATGCGTAAAATTTTTTTTTAATGTAAGCAAATTATTTACACATTTATTTCTTCAATACTTCAATTAATATTTATATCACAATTATTGAGCAATCGAGATAAATTGAAAGTAATTAAAAATCAGAAATAATAAATGCTAATTACCGAATGCAAATGAATTAATAATTTATGTCAAAATAAAAAGTTGCTCTTAACTTTTATTATGTGAAATTTTTCAGACTGTAAATATTTGAAAAGTAGTAATTCAAAAATGTTCTTGCTTTAGATTATATTAACAAAGTTAGCGCACAGTGTGAAACGTGTGAAGAATTCCATAATTAAGATTTTGCTGTGTGTGGAATTCCATATTTAAAATTGTGTTAGGTGTAGAATTCTACATTTGGAATTTTTCTGTACATGGAATTCTACATTTCAAATTGTCGGGTGTACAGAATTCCACATTTAGGATTCGTATATGGGTGAAATTCCACATCTAGAATTTGGAAATCAGTGGAATTCCACGTTTAGGATTCGTATATAAATGGAATTCCACACCTGGGATTTGGATATTGATTAAATTTCACATTTAGGACGTGAATATGAATGGAATTCCACATGTAGGAGGTGCATGTAGGTGGAATTCCACGTTTAGGATTTGGATGTTGGTGGAATTCCGCATTTGAGATTTGTATATTAATGGAATTCAACATCTAGAATTTGGAAATCAGTGGAATTCCACGTTTAGGATTCGTATATAAATGGAATTCCACACCTGGGATTTGGATATTGATTAAATTTCACATTTAGGACGTGAATATGAGTGGAATTCCACGTGTAGGAAGTGCATGTAGGTGGAATTCCACATTTAGGATTTGGATGTTGGTGGAATTCCACATTTGAGATTGGTATATTAATGGAATTCCTCATTTAGAATATGGATATGAGTGGAATTCCATCTTTAGGACTTGCATTTTGGTGGAATTCCACATTTGGGATTTGGATACGAGTGGAATTCCACCTTTGAGATTCGTATACGACTGGAATTCCAACTTTAGTATTTGGATGTTGGTGGAATTCCACATGTGGGATTCTGTTGTGCGTAGAATTCTAAATGTGATGGTTTATTATCCCCAGAATTCCATACTTAAGACTTTGCTAAATGTAGAATTCCACATTTAAAAGTTCGCTAATTGCAGAATTCCACATTTAAGATTTTGTGAAATGTAGAATTCCACATTTAAAATTTTGTTACGCGTAGAATTCCACACTTAAAATAAAACTACAAGTGGAATTCCCTATCCACTAAAAGCCCACACGAAAATAACTCCACCTAACCTGTAACACCACAAGTACACGTACGCAGTTGTAAAAAAAATATCATTAAATTTAACATTGTTACTTTAGACAACTCTAAACCCAATTAAAAAACAAGAGAAGGATGAATCTACAGCAAAACACAAAGAAGACTACAATCATGGTTTTTTATGTAAAGTTACAAAATAAAACGAAGAACCGTACTCAGTTAATCTCACAACTTTCTTTCCCTCCGCACTTTTCAACCAAAAAAAGAAAAAGGTTTCAACATTCATTTTCGTAAAATCTTTTTTTCTTTTTATTTACAAAACATAACTGTCGTGGTAGTTAGATAGCGTGCGTTTTTATACAAATGACAGAGACAAATAAAAATCGGTAAGAAGAGGTGTGGGTTTAAAAAAAGGAATTCCGAAAGATCTTAAAAAAGGAAAATAAAATTGAAAATTTCGTGAAAAAAAAAAAATTTCACGGCAACGCGTCGATCGAAATTTTACGACGCAATCGTAGAGGTTATGGTTGTTTCGGTCGCTTTTTTTTTTCGTTTTTACAGTACAAACCGCGTGCCGCAGGAAACAGGTTTAAATTATACTGTGTATTTTTGTCTCTTTTGTTTTCTTTACACTGGTGGCGCTTGCGTGTGTTGCAGACAACCCTCGACATTTTCCGGCCAATCGCAGACGTTCTCGTTAGGGTTGAACACCAGATTTACTGGACAGGGCATGTGGTGTTTTCTCTCACCCTCGCACATGTAATACATGGTGCAGTCGTTCTTGTCCTGGTGGTACGATATGTGGTTATCCTCCTCGTCGCAGGTCACTTCATGCGCTGTAATAATCGATACAGCTATTTTTATTCCTGCTTTTGTTTTTGACTATTTTTGGATGTTTATTGAGTTCGAGTGCTCTTGAGAATTATGTACCTTTTGTACGTTTTGAATTTATATGCTTGGTTAGGGATTGGTGTATGGAGAGATTTGTCTACAAATCTTTATATATTTCAACTAAAATTTTGAATTTGTTGATTATATAAAAATATGTTTAAATATTCAATTCTTCAAGTTTTCAAATTTAGAAATTATCAAGCTTTCTAAGACTCAAAATGTCAAATGATCAAATTCTCAAATTATGAAATTTATAAACTCTTATAAATTTGAGACTTCCAAATTCTCAAATACTAAAATTCCCAAATTCTAAAATTCTCAAATTCTTAAGCTCTCAAACACTCAAACTCTTAAACTCTCACATTTAAAAATTCTCAAGCTCTTAAACTCTCAAATTGTTAAATTGGTAAATTGCCAGATTCTCAAACTCTCAAATTTAAAAATTCTCAAACTCTCAAATTATTAAATGGGTAAATTACCACATTCTCAAACTCAAGCTGTCAAATTCTTAAGCTCTCAAACTCTCAAACTCTCAAACTTTCAAACTCTTAAATTCCCAAATTCTAAAATTCTCAAACTCCCAAATTGTTAAATTGGTAAATTGCCAGATTCTCAAACTCTCACATTCTCAAACTCTCAAACTCTCAAATTGTTAAATGGGTAAATTACCACATTCTCAAACTCAAGCTGTCAAATTCTTAAGCTCTCAAACTCTCAAACTTTCAAACTCTTAAATTCCCAAATTCTAAAATTCTAAAATTCTCAAACTCTCAAACTCTCAAATTGTTAAATTGGTAAATTGCCAGATTCTCAAATTCTCAAACCTCAAACTCTCAAAGTCTCAAACTTTCAAACTCTCAAAGTCTCAAACTTTCAAATTCTCAAATTCCTAAATTCTCATTTTATCAAATTAAAATGAATTTTAAATTGTTATATTGAATTACACAGTAAATACTTACGATCTTTGGTGGTATACCTCCCGTTCCTCGCTGTGCTCTCATAAGGTCCATCGTATTCTAATTTTACCTTGTAGTCTTGCAGCTCTTTCTTCATAGCTTTGATCAACGGATATTTACCAGCTCCACAAATTCCTCTGAAGTCATCCATATCCACGGACCAGATCATTATACCTCCAAAACCTTCTTCTTTCAGCCATTGCATCTAACACATTCAATTATACATCTTAAAACTTGTATTCAACACTAATTCCACATATTGTATTTAATATAATTCTTATAAAACATAATTGTGTTTCATTATTAATTCAATTCAATTGATTATAAAAGAAATTTAATTATTTTAACATTAAATTCTAATTCAAATTCCATAACCTTCAATTTTAATTAAAATTCAATTTGCTAATATTTTAAACTGAATTTTAAATTGAATTAAAAAGTAATCAAACTTCGTTTAAAATTAATGTGAATGTAATTGAACTAAACCCAATTTTTCATTATACAGTAATATTATAATTAATAAACTCTTCAGACATGACCTAACTTAACCCTTTTATCAATTTTCAACCAACCTTCATTTACAGCAGAAATAAAATAAAAATGAAAATGGTTGCTACCTTGTTTATCAGGCTTCTTTCGTCGTCGAAACCAACCCACTGATCATCCTTGTACGCAAAAGGTACTTGTTGCTCGCTGTCCCAGACTAGAGTAGTGTTATCCTCGTTCAAGAAGCCACAGATCTACGTTTGACGGAATTACTCTTAAATATATTGTGAACACTCAACAGGACGCAAATCCGTTATGTTCGTTTCACGTACCTCGTAGTAAGATAGAAATCCTGATTCATTTGTGAAATTGCCGGCTGTGCCGCCTCCGGATGCTGGTGCCCCTATATCAAACTTCTCTTTGTCGACCAACGTGAAAGACCTGCCGTAAGTTGGCATACCGATCATTAATTTTTCCTTTGGAGCACCTTGCTTTACCCATTCTCTCGCGCTGTAGTCCTGTGGCAGATAAAAATTTCGTATCATGAAACAAAATTACTGGGTTTGAATAAAATAGATGTAGAGTTACAGAATTTTAGAATTGTGAAAATACAGAATTGTTGAATTGTTGAACTGTTGATTGCCTACATTCTTGAATTCTTGAATTACTGAATTTCTGAGTTTTAGAATTATTATTACTGAATTATTGAATTATTGAATTGTTGAATTGTTGAATTATTGCATTGTTGAATTGTTGAATTACTGAATTACTGAATTACTGAATTACTGAATAACTGAATCACTGAATTACTGAATAACTGAATTACTGAATTACTGAATTACTGATTTACTGAATTACTGAATAACTGAATCACTGAATTACTGAATAACTGAATTACTGAATTGAATTACTGAATTCTTGAATTACTGAATTCTTGAATTACTGAATTCTTGAATTACTGAATTCTTGAATTACTGAATTCTTGAATTACTGAATTCTTGAATTACTGAATTCTTGAATTACTGAATTACTGAATTACTGAATTCTTGAATTACTGAATTCTTGAATTACTGAATTCTTGAATTACTGAATTCTTGAATTACTGAATTCTTGAATTACTGAATTCTTGAATTACTGAATTCTTGAATTACTGAATTCTTGAATTACTGAATTCTTGAATTACTGAATTCTTGAATTACTGAATTCTTGAATTACTGAATTCTTGAATTACTGAATTCTTGAATTACTGAATTCTTGAATTACTGAATTCTTGAATTACTGAATTCTTGAATTACTGAATTCTTGAATTACTGAATTATTGAGTTACTTAATTCTTGAATTATGAAATTGTAGAACTGTTGAATTGTAGAGCTATACAATTTCAGAATTGAAAAATTAAAAAATTATTGAATTATAATATAGAATAGCATTGCACAGTAGTCTACAGTACCGTCTCGTTATAAAGCCATAAACGGTATTATTTGAAGATTGTGAATGATCTATGATGTTTAAATGTTAAATGACAATGTGTACATTTATTATTAATATATTATTATGGAAATAATTTGAATGTATTCTATACAATTGACAAGAGAGAAAATTTTAAGAAAATATTTATTCATTTTTTTTTACTAACCACTGTCAATTTCTTCTGGTAACTGGTTGCACTTTCTAAGGGGAACAGAGGACTGTTGTGACCCACTTGTCTTTCCCACTGTCCATGAAAATCGTACGTCATAACATTAATGAAATCCAGGTATTTAGATATTTCAGGTACGTCGTATCTAAAATCAATAAAAATATGATAGATTAGAGATGGTAACTGTGTATTTTATAATAATAAATATAAAATAATTGATTATATCATATTAATTGAGTAGATTTAAGTATGATTTATTCAAATTTAAATATTAAGCGCATAAAAATAAAAAAATTACCCTGCAGCAATAGCTTCAAAACTAGCAGGCACAGCAGCTGACAAAATTAATTTCGGTTGTCCAGAACTCTTCGCTTCACCTTCGAAAGCAAGTCGAAGCTCTTTCAGAAGATTCACATAAGCTGCTCGGTCATCTCCACCTCTGAAAAATTGATTTTATTAAAAATTGTTTGTACCACAAATTAACATACAGTTAACGCCTAAATAAATAATATGACATATTATTTCAGTGACGTATGGATTTATATTTGATTTAAAAAATAAATAATCGTATTGAATACTTTAATGAACTTATATAAATTATTTATTAAATACTGCAATATACTTGTACTAGTTATTGTACAAAATACTTTAATACACTTTTATAAATAATTGTATTAAATATTTTAAAGTATTTACACAAATAATAAATGCATGAAAGTCAATGAAGAGGTCTACTTTTACAAAATGCAAACAAAAATAAATAAATGTATTGTTAATAAATAAATAAATAAATGTACTGTTGTTGTAAAATGCAGTAATTTATCAAATTTAATGAAGATAAAATCGTTTTTTGTTAGGACTTGCAACTAATTAAATAAGATAAAGTTGTTAATAATACAAAAAAGAAAAATAAGATGATTATAAAATAATTTTTACCGAGGATATTCCCAGTCGACATCCAAACCATCGAATTTGTATTCCCTCAAGAAATCAATGGCTTCATAGACGAATTGATTCATACGGAAAGTGTTGCTGGTCAATTCTTTGAATGGCGTTGATCCGAATGCCCAGCCACCGATCGCTAACAAAATCTGTCAAAATTATAATCTCTGTGTTAATTGAAATTTTTAAACATTTGAATTTAATCAGAAAAATGTAGAAATATTACAAGAATTTTTTATGATGATGTAAAGTGTTGACAATGTATAAAATAGTATTTAAGATATATTAATGAAATTTAATATTTCTTAAAGATAATAATGATTAAGTTAACAATTTAATTATCAATTGAAGCAATTAATAGTCAATTCAATTATCAATTTAATTATCAAATCAATTATCAAGTCAATTATCAATTCAACTATGAATTAAATTATCAAGTCAATTATCAATTCAATTATCAAGTCAATTATCAACTTAATTATCCATTAGATTTTCCATTTAAAAATTACCAACCAATATTAAATTTTTAATTACTAAACTTGAAAATATAAATATATAATACATATGTATATTTATATAATCATATACTGTATTTACTTTACACCTGCACGTTCATCTGTCATTAACACACAGAAAACTAACAACAGATCTCTGATTACTAGAGGTTTACATGAAATTCAATTAATTCAATTTAAATTTCCTGCTCTACACAACCAATTCAAAACCGTTTGCCTAACATTGAACAAGATGTCTCTTTCTACTCATCGCTATGTAAATCTCAGTCAACAAAATCTGCTGAAAACGCTCATAAAGATCGTACTTTGATATCTGGATTCTTATCGCGAAGAGCGATCAGTCGCCCATACATCTCCGCGTCCTTTTCGCTTTCTTCCACAAGCAAATGATTCTTCAAGGTCGCGAAAGCGTAGACTATGTGAGTGCAGAGAGTAGGATCAATGTCTTCTGGCATAAATTTCCCACCACCTGGCCGCCTGTGTGACCAATTCGTTAGATAACAGAAAGATTGTGCCTCCCTTTCTGCGAACAAGATACAAGAAAACGCCATTATTAAAATTATCTAATAATTTTTCTGTTCTTTAGAGACCTCAAATCACATCATCTTTTTATACTAAATTCATTCTCTTTGGAAAGATAAAAAATCTTTTACAAACAAACAAAATTTCTATTTTGTATTTTATCTCTTTAGACTTGAAATTCTATTTAAATAAATTTGGTGATCGTCGAGTTTTTGGACTTTATGTATTATATTTTGGTTTGTCTTTGTTTTCTCTCAAAATTCTACAATGAGTCAAGTTATTAATATTTCTCAAAAAAGTACACTAAATGAATCAATAAAATTATTGCAATTTAGTATGAACTGTTCTGTCAACTTCAGAATAATTAATACATAATAATTTGTATATTATAATATATATATAATATACAAATTATATATTATATTATAGATTATATTATATATTATATTTACATTATATTAAATAATAATTTCATTTCCACATTATATTCAATTTTTGATTTTCCTTTCTTCCTAAAATTACACAATAAACTAAATAAACTTATAACAAAATTACCATTTGTTGGAGGACTAATAACAAGCTGCGACGTCGACTTCTGAATCTTCTTCGCTTTACCGATAACATCAGACACAGAAATTTTGTACGGTTCTGGTTTTTTCAAAATATTTTCCGAAACGGTGGAAGCTACAGCGCTCCAATCAACGTCTTTCGCATTCGGGCCTCTCGATACTCCTAGTAATTCTTCCCTCATCGCGCCGATTAACGGATATCTCACGTTTCCTCCGCAAACCGTGCCGTTGAAGTCGTCCATGTCGACCGTCCATACCATAGCTCCTCCATAACCCTTGTTTTTCAACCAATCCATCTTGATTCTGATCGATTTTTCGTCGTCGAAACCGACCCATTGATCGTTCTGCACTAAGTATGGTACTTTCATCTCGTCATCCCAGATGTAGATCGCGCCATTTTGTAGCATCTCGCAGATCTGGAAAGAATATTGCGTTTTTCTTAGTTTTTGGTTGCTTTAAGTTTGAAATATTTGGGGTGGATAATTAGTAAACTAACCTAACCATGAATCTTGTCTAATTAATAACCTAACCTAACCATGTATCCTATTTAATTACTAACCTAACTTAACCATGAATCTTAATTATATAGTAACTTAACTTAACCATGAATCTTATTTAATTAGTAACCTAACTTAACCATGTATCTTATGTAATCAGTAACCTAACCTAACCATAAATCTTATTTAATCAGTAACCTAACCTAACCATGAATTTTATCTAATTAGTAACTTAACCTAACCATGAAGATCTTTTTATAACTAAAGAATTATTACACTAATACATTATAACTGGATTACAGTATGTATATGATATAGTTATGCACTAATAACAAAATCTATATCTTTGTATCAGACACAAAGACAGATTTGTAGTAAACTACACCATTTCACATTAATATCACATAATAATTCTTATATTATTATAGAAAATAGACACTTTTGAATCTATGGTCATTTATAGTAGGTACATTTGTTTAATAAATATTTGTCATTTGCTATTTTGGTAATTTAGTAATATAGAAATTAAAAATCTTGGAAATTTTGGAACATTAAACTTTCTGATTTAAAAATCTTTATCCTTAAAAAATAGGACAGTTAATAGACTTCAAAACCTGGCAGTAAATTTTGATAATCTTACTACTTAAAGACATAGAAATTTTTAAATTTTCCATGTTTTAAATTTGAAGATTATCAGATGTTTCAACATTCAAATTTTTAAATTTAATAATTAAAAATTATCAGATGTCTCAACATCTGAAGTTCCAAATTCAATAATTTAAAAATTTTCAGATGTCTTAATATTCATTTTCCAAATGCAGTAATTTGAAAATTTACCAAATGTTTCAATGTCTGATTTCTCAAATTCAATGATTTAAGAATGACTAAACAACCCAGCATCCAAATGTCCAAATTTAATAATTAAAAAATTACCAAATGTCTCACCATCCAAATTTCCAAATACAATCATTGAAAATTTACTAAATGTCTCAGTGTCCAAATTTTTAAATGCAACAATTTGAAAATCACCAAGTATCTTAATATCCAAATTTCCAAATGCAGTAATTTGAAAATTATCAAAAGTCTCAACACCTGAATGTTCAAATACAATAATTTCAAAATCACCAAATATCTCTACATCTAAAATTTCAAATTCAGTGAATAGAAAATCACTAACTGTCTCAACATCCAAATTTCCAAATTCAATATATACATATTACCAAGTATCTCAATTATCCAAATTTTGAATACAGAAAATTTTGAATATTGGAAACAGAAGTTGAGAAATTTAGTAAGTAGACCTGGTTAGGTCACCTAACAATTTAGTATCTTCTCGAGCAACCTCAGAATGAAAAGTGTCCGTTTAAATTAACGTTCCCCAGTTCTAAATGCCACCAGCTGTCAACGATGCTCACGCTCCGGGCTCCGGGCAAAGTGATTGGCAAATGTTCGCGAATACCTACTTCGTAATAGGCAAGAAAGCCAGATTCCTTGGTGTATTCTCCAGCCTTTCCACCGCCGCTAGCAGGTGCATGAACACGGAAATTGGCCAAGTTCGAGAGAGTGAACGATCGGCCATAGGTTGGCATGCCGATTATTAATTTCTCTTTGGGTGCACCTAACCTGACCCACATCGAAGCAGCGTTGTCTACGCTGAGTTGCTTCTGCCACTCGGAATCCAACGAGGAGGCGTACAAAGGAGCGTTGTGGCCAGTTTCTCTCTCCCATTTTCCGTGGAAATCGTATGCCATGAGATTGATGAAGTCCAAATAGCTAAACAATACATGTATCGATCATTATCAGAAGAATTATACAGAAATCGTATATACTGTCTCTGTATTTATACAGGGAGTTTCAACTCTTAATAACAAATTCCATTAGTAAAAATAAAAGAAGAATGTCATAACATAGAATCTCAAAAACTTTATCAAAAAGTTATAACAAGAACGCGAAACGACAGACTGCTTTGTTCGATATACAGGGTGTTCCATGTTCGTATAACTTGACCAGAATATTCTCTAAATAAAAATAAGAAAAAATGTTTATACGAACGTAGGCTCTCGAACGCGTGATTAAAAGTTATTAAAAAAAATATGAAAGTCGAGAATTATTCGTATGTAGTATCCCAGGAGAAAATCGTCCATTATTTCGTATATTCCTCGCAATCTTTCGATAAAACATTCAAGAGCCTATGTTTATACAACATTTTTTATCGTTTTTATTTGTAGAACGTGCCGGTAAAGTTTTACGTAGAAAACTGGGACACACTGTATGCGTCGAAAGACAAAGCGGTGGTCGTTTTGTACTTTTGTTATAATTTTTTAACAGGGCGTTTGAAACCCTGTGTTGATGTAACGTTTTCTTGTTTTTGCGTGTGGAATATTTTGGTGAAGTTTGATGGTAAAATATTGAGAGAGTGCGTATATAGCGGTCACATATGTAGCGTTCATATATGTGGCTGTCGCGTATCTAGCGCTCATATATCCGGTTGTCACATATCTGGCGCTCATATATCTGGCTGTCACGTATCTGGCGCTCACATATCTGGTTGTCTCATATATCTGGCATTTACTTGATATAATTAATGTACCTCGCAACAGCTGGAACATCATATCCGCTCTTAACATTATCAGGACCGACTGGCACAGCCGCTGTTAAAAGAAGTCTCGGCATTTTCTTCTCTTGCGCCTCTGCTTCGAACGCTTCCCGAAGCTCTGTACATTAATTTTAAATAAACAATTAAATTAGCCTTGTAGCTGATTCTTGAGAAGGAAATAAATCACGTTTTTGTAAATTATTAATTATTTTTAATAATGAATATTAATTTTGATGATAAACATGTTATGATAATAATTATTAAAGTTTAATTATTAATTATGTTTAATGTTAATAAAGGTTATTGATAATAAATATAGTATATAATATCGTTTTAATTATTGTTGAAAAATAGCGTATTGTATTAATTCTTAAATAAGGATATTATTAAAAATAGTGTTAATTCTGTGTCAATTAAATGAATATATTGTTATTAAAAATAGTCTACTATATTAAGTATCTTGTTCAAGCGTTTTTCATAATTTTACCTTTCAACAAAAGAACATAATTCTTCTTGTCATCCCCTCCTTTCGGATATTCCCAATCGATATCGAGACCGTCAAAGTTTCTGTCTCTTAAATATGGTATGGCGCTGTAAATAAATGTCTGCCTCGCGTATCTGGTCGCTGAGACATCTTTGAACTTTTGAGTGCCGAATGACCATCCACCTAATCGAAATAAATAAAATTTGCATTTCATATTCAATAACGACTCAAGTATAGTTATTGAAACATACTTTGACTTTCACTTAATATTATCCATAACATATTAAATAAATGTTTGCCGCTTTCAAACTCAACAATCCAAATAACCGCGAAAATTTAAATATCCAAATTATCGTATGCTTTCGAAATTTTGTTTATGACAAGTACAACTACAGTTAACAAATGAACTTAGACCACAAAGTAGACATATTATAAGGTCTTAATAAAAACTATTGAATATCAGAACTTTTTCAATGGAAACAAATGAAGGTTCATGTAAATGTTATTGTCTAAATAATTTACCTATCGCCAGTAAAATTTTTAAGGACGGATTAGCCTTCTTCAGGTTGACAATTTTTTCATACAGTCCAACCTTTCCATCCTTTGTCTCGTCGTTCGATTCGAAGCTTGTCAGTTTGTTCTTCTTTAGCCAACCAAACGCGAAGATGATGTGAGTGCACAAGTCAGGTTGTATGTCTTCGGGCATGAATTTTCCAATTTTCGTCCGGTATTGAGACCAATTTGTGTAGTAACACACGAGCTGCACATTTTAGTGAAAATAATAACAAGGTTTATATTTAAACAAGGTTTATTTTTTTTTTTAAATTTGACTTAAATTTATTTATAAATTACATTTCAAGGTCAATTTAGAAAAATCAGATGAACAATTTAAATGGAATTATAATATTTTTAAATTATGGTAAATAATTTATAATGATATTACTGTATATTTATTATAATATTAATAATTTATAATAATATTGCTATGCATTTGTTATAATGTCAAATAGTTTAAGATAAAATTACTCGATAGTTTTATTCACTTTTATGTTAAAAATAAATTGGTAATAAGAGCGAGAAAGGAATGAAAAGTAACAGGTAACAATATTCTTTCATTTCCTAAAAAATTAACGTATATTTTAGTAATATATAGAATAAAATAATTTTAATAATATCTACAAAGAATTATCTAGAGTATTAATCTGGAGTAATATTTACAATAAAATAATTTTAATAACATCTTTAAAAAATTATCTAAAATATTCATCTGGTATGATCTCTAAAATAAAATAATTTTAATAATACACTACCGTCCATAAGTATCCGGACACTTGGTTTCGTTACATAAAACATAGTTGAATTTTGTACGAAAGGTATTTAGGGTTATCATATCATTTGTAAAAATTATTATTATCTTTTTTGAGGTGTCATAACATAATAGAATTAATTTTTAAGTACAAATTATACAACGAAAGTGTGAAAGTAGTACAAATTATACGTTGTTTTATTTTAGATATTATTCCACATTAATATTCTACATAAAGTTATTTTATTTTAAATATTATTCTGGATAGTTTTTTGAAAAATTTATTAAGATTATTTTATTTTAGATATTATTCCAGGTTAATAACATAGATCACTGTTTGAAGATACACTACCGTCCATAAGTATCCGGACACTTGGTTTCGTTACATAAAACATAGTTGAATTTTGTACGAAAGGTATTTAGGGTTATCATATCATTTGTAAAAATTATTATTATCTTTTTTGAGGTGTCATAACATAATAGAATTAATTTTTAAGTACAAATTATACAACGAAAGTGTGAAAGTAAAATTCATGTCCAGAAGTACAAAGTCCAAATTTGTGAATCTAATGAAACGCTTTCGATTCTAAAAAAAATTTTAATTTCTACTGTGTTTCATTTCTATGGTGCAGAACGTATTCAGAGGGTTCTTTGATATGTTTCAAGTGTTTTTAAACTGTTGGTAGATGTTTAGGTTCCCTCAATGGAGATAAGAATGGAGGTAACGCTACGCACTCGACAGTTTCGGTTTAGTTCGTCTGTAGCTTCTTTTCCATCGAGATATGAGTTTCAAACAAGAATTATCAATCGAAAAACGTTCCAGTATTCTGACCTTCGCAGAAAAAAAATCGATTTTAGTTACTGTTGCAGATACTTGAATAACTTTCATGCAACGCGAATACATTCTTCGCTTGTGTCCGGATACTTATGGACGGTAGTGTATCTTCAAACAGTGATCTATGTTATTAACCTGGAATAATATCTAAAATAAAATAATCTTAATAAATTTTTCAAAAAACTATCCAGAATAATATTTAAAATAAAATAACTTTATGTAGAATATTAATGTGGAATAATATCTAAAATAAAACAACTTCAATAATAATTACTTAAAGTATTTAAATATTCACCTTAATTATTTTTTTTCTGTTCATAAAAATCAATACAGATTTAAAGGAAAGTATCTGAACAAATTTTTGTAATAAATACAAAATTAAACAAATTTTAAAACAAGAAATGTGCGAAACGATAATTTAAATAATTCAGCAGAAATAATTAGCGTTAACAATTCAGTAAAAATTATTTGATAATGAATTATTTTCATATTGAAGCAATTATTATTGTCGTACCTACCTTGTAGTCCTCCGATTTACCCGTTTGAATTTCGGTCTTTTTACTTTTGTTGGTGATTCGATTTCTAGTGACTTTGAACCTGTTCACACTAGCTGAGACCTCTTGATCGTTTGATAACGACGGGGCAGAAGTTGTTGGCCTGCGAAATCTTTTCCTCGCGCCTGTTTTAATCACATTATTCGATATTAAAGTACAATACTTGGAAATATAGGAATTTGGAAATTTGCAGATTTTCAGAGAAATAAGTAATTCGGAAATTTGGAAATTTGGGGGTTTGAAAATTTGATAATTTAAAAATTAGGAAAATTGAGAACTTGGAAATCTAGAAATTTGTGAATTATGGATTTTGCATTTTGAATGTTTAGAAATTGCAAGAATTGGAAATATAGGAATTCAAAATTTTAGAAATTCGAAAATTTAGAAATTTGGGGGTTTGAGGATTTAATAATTTAAGAATTAGGAAAATTGAGAAATTGGGATTTTAGAAACTTGGAAATTGTAGATTTCTAAATTTGTAAGTTTGGAAATTTAGGAATTCGAAAAATTAGAAATTTAGCATTTGAAAATTTAATAATGTGAAAATTAGGAAAATTGAAAAATTGGGATTTTACAAATTTGGGCATTGTAGATTTCTAAATTCCTAAGTTTGGAAATTTAGGAATTCGAAAAATTAGAAATTTAGCATTTGAAAAATTAATAACGTGAAAATTAGGAAAATTGAAAAATTGGAATTTAGAAACTTGGAAATTGTTAGATTTCTAAATTCCTAAGTTTGGAAATTTAGGAATTCGAAAAATTAGAAATTTAGCATTTGAAAATTTAATAATGTGAAAATTAGGAAAATTGAGAAATTGGGATTTTAGAAATTTGGAAATTGTAGATTTGTAAATTCGTAAGTTTGGAAATTTAGGAATTCGAAAATTTAACAATTTAGCATTTGAAAAATTAATAATGCAAAAATTAGGAAAATTGAAAAATTGGGATTTTAGAAACTTGGAAATTGTAGATTTTTAAATTTGTAAGTTCGGAAATTTAGGAATTCGAAAAATTAGAAATTTAGCATTTGAAAATTTAATAATGCAAAAATTAGGAAAATTGAAAAATTGGAATTTAGAAACTTGGAAATTGTAGATTTCTAAATTTGTAAGTTCGGAACTTTAGGAATTCGAAAATTTATAAATTTAGCATTTGAAAATTTAATAATGCAAAAATTAGGAAAATTGAAAAATTGGAATTTAGAAACTTGGAAATTGTAGATTTCTAAATTTGTAAGTTCGGAAATTTAGGAATTCGAAAATTTATAAATTTAGCATTTGAGAATTTAATAATTTAAAAATTAGGAAAATTGCGAAATTTGAAAACTTCGAAATCGAAAAACTTACTAAATACAAAAAATTACTAAATAATGGAATTTGAAAATTTTGAAAAATGAAAGTTTAAAAAATTTTAAAATATGCACTTCGTTTCAAAGAACATCAGATGTACATTTCGTTAGAAGAACGTCAAATATACACTTTGTTCGACAGAGAGCAAGTAGATAGTGTCAGAGGTTAAAGATACGATACCTTCTGCATTGTCGAGGCTGCCGAAAAGTACGATCAAGCAGACGAGTAGCAGCCAACAGGTCGTTCTGCTGGTCAACACCTGAAAAGAAAGTGAACGTGTAACTGATCTGTGGAACCTGTCGTTGCTGTTACGTTTCAACACTTGTTTAATAAAAGAACCATCAAATACTCGAATGATTCTCTACCTCGAGCACGTGATGTCAACTGGTGAATGGTGTCACCGTTCAAGTCTATTTCATTTTTTATGTTCGTTGAAATCGATGAATCGTCAAAAATTTGGGATTTGTTGACGGGGTAGCGTAAAAGTGTAAATGTCTCATTAAATGTCTCACTTAAATACTTCACTAAATTTCTAAGTGTTACATAAACTATTTTACTAAATGTCTAAATAATACATCAAATATCTCAATGTCTCAGTGTCTCAGTAAATGTCTCAATGTCTCAGTAAATGTCTCACTTAAATACTTCACTAAATTTCTAAGTATTACACAGACTGTTTTACTAAGTGTCTAAATAGTTCACCAAATATCTCAATGTCTCAGTAAATGTCTCAGTGTCTCGGTAAATGTCTAAATGTCTCAGTAAATGTCTCACTTAAATACTTCACTAAATATCTAAGTATTACACAAACTGTTTTACTAAGTGTCTAAATAATTCACTAAATATCTCAGTTCACTAAATGTCTCAGTAAATGTTTCAGTGTCTCAGTAAATGTCTCAGTGTTTCAGTAAATGTCTCAATGTCTCAATAAATATCTCAGTTAAATACTTCACTAAATTTCTAAGTGTTACACAAACTGTTTTACTAACTGTTTAAATAGTTTACCAAATATCTCAATGTCTCAGTAAATGTCTCAGTGTCTCCGTAAATGTCTCAGTGTCTCAGTAAATGTCTCAATGTCTCAGTAAATATCTCACTCAAATACTTCACTAAATGACTAAGTATTACACAAACTGTTTTACTAAGTGTCTGGATTATTCACCAAATATCTCAATGTCTCAGTAAATATCTCAGTGTCTCGGTAAATGTCTAAATGTTTCAGTAAATGTCTCACTATCTCCCTAAATGTACATAAATGTTTAATTGCAAGTCTAAATGTCTTCCTAAATCTCTGAATAAATGTCTAAGCATCTTCCTAAATATTCAAATGTCTCACAAAATGTCTGAATGTCTCACTAAATGTTTCAGTATCTTTCTAAATATATATAAATGTTTAATTACAAGTTTAAATGCCTTTTAAAATTTTTAAATAATGAACTAAATATGTAAATATTTTCCTAAATACCCAAATGTCTCATGAAACGGCTAAATCCTTAAAAGTTTCACAAAATGTCCGACTGTCTCTTTACATGTCTCAGAAAATGTCTAAGTAGCTCTTTAAATGTCTCACAAAATGTCTGACTGTCTGATAATGTCTCACAAAATATGTAACCATCACCTTAAATATCTCACAAAATGGCTGACCGTCTCCCTAAATGTCCCACAAAATGGCCGACCGTTGCTTTAAAATGTCTCACAAAATGTCTGACTGCCTCCTTAAATCTCTCAATAACTTTTTATCGTTCTAAACTATTAAAATAATAATTCTTTTCGAAATAAATATATAAATAAAAGCATATGGCAAAAAATATCTATAATAACTTTTGAATCCACAGTAAAACAGAAAAACGTTTAAGCTAAATTCATTATTGTCCTTGAGTTTCATTTCCTGATTAAAAAGACGAGATAATGCTAGTCACGAGAGATAGTGTTATAAAAACTAGCGAAAGTTATTTGCGGTTTCTTCGATCGATTACCAAGCGGATATTTGACGATGAAGAATTGAAAATTGAAACTCACGAACTTCCTCGTTGGACCAAGATGCAGACAGCTTAAGCAAGAAATGAAATACAATTTCATTGAGGAAGACTACTTAGAAAGTTCCCTTTCTATACAAGGCAAACGTTAAATTTCATTGTGTCATATTTACAAACATGATCAAGCATTCTAATACTAGTTTAAAAACTTTTATACTCTTTAAAGAAAATATTTCATACAAATTTTGTAATATTTGGAAAAAAATTTGTATTATTTCAATAATAATACTGATTTTTGTTCATTCAATGTATAATGAAAAATAAATAAATTATATTGCAATTGATGTTACAAAATTTGTATATGTAATTAATTTTTATGATTTATGTATTTATAAACAATTATTATATAAACTGCTATCAAACTAAAAATAGAATTAATTTTTAAAACAGTCTTCACTTTAAACATTAACATAATTATTTAATACAATTAATTTCTATATTTATTTGTTTCTTTATTTTTCTATTATTTTATATTATAAACAATATTATTAATATTACACAAGGGACTATAGCATTAAAATATAAAAATTTATTAATAAATTTTCATATATAACCAAAAAAACAAATTATTTATTTTATATATTTACAATATGCATATATGCATGATATGTATAATATTAAAACACGTAATACATAGTATTATAAACTATCATAATACATACAGAATAATGTACGCGTATGTTCTAACATTAGAACAAGAAATAATACATATTTCATGAAACGCAGGCAAGTTTTCATATAAAGAAATTGGCCAATTGTTTTTTATGTTAGAACAGCAGATTTACTGTGTGAACAGGTGAAGCTGAGGTGGTAAATAGCGGACAGGAAATTAATTTCCGTGGTTAACTAATACCAGTTCACGTAACAATTTTTCTATTTCTTAAAAGTGCAACATTCTCTTGCGAAGGCCGATTAACTCGTTGATTATACATACAGCGTGTGTTGATAGTAATCACCACGTTAAATTTATTATATTCAAATAACGCGACGAGAGAAAACGGAAGGGTTAATTTGAAATAATAATACATATTATATTATGCAACATTTACATTGCAGTCGTCATAATTATGTCGCTGTAGGATATATTATTTTACGGTAATGCTACGGTAACGGTACGGTGACGCTACGCTAACGCTACGGTGACGTTACGGTGACGCTACGATGACGCTACGCTAACGCCACGGTGACGCTACGATGACGCTACGCTAACGTTACGGTGACGCTACGGTGACGCTACGCTAACGCTACGGTGGCGCAACACTAACGTTACGGTGACGCTACGGTGACGCAACGATGACGCTACGATGACGCTACGATGACGCTACACTGACGCTACTCTGACGCTACAATGACGCTACGGTGACGCTACGCTAACGCCACGGTGACGCTACGGTGACGCTACGCTAACGTTACGGTGACGCTATGCTAACGTTACGTTATGTTAACATTCCACTAAGTTAACGCCGTCCTAGACTAACACTGTGCTGTGTTAACGTTTCACTAGGTAACACCGTACTAGACTAACACTATGATATGCTAACGCTTCACTAGGTTAACGCCGTGCTAGACTAACACTGTAGTCTGTTAACCTTCCACTAGGATAACGCTTTACTAAACTAACACTATGATATGCTAACGCTTCACTAGCTTAACGCTGTACTAGGTTAACGCCCATCTGTATTAACGCTGTACTAAGGTAACGCCGAACTAGATTAAAGCCGCTCTATGTTAACGCCGTACTAAGTTAATACCGAACTAGGTTAAAGCCGTTCTATGTTACCTCTGTACTAGGCTAACGTCGATCTGTATTAACGCTGTACTAAGATAACGCCGAACTAGATTAAAGTCGTCCTATGTTAACGCCGTACTAAGTTAATACCGAACTAGGTTAAAGCCGTTCTATGTTACCTCTGTACTAGGCTAACGTCGATCTGTATTAACGCTGTACTAAGATAACGCCGAACTAGATTAAAGTCGTCCTATGTTAACGCTGTGCTGAATTAACGTCCTACTAGATTAACGCCGTCTTATGTTAATGTTGTACTAAGTTAACGCCATGCATAGTTTTCAGTAAATAATTGAATATCTAAAGAATTTTTCAACTTTATGAAATCTGTTATTTGTAATAACTTTATAGTCTAATTAATACTTAACTGCAATTGTTCTATGTGCAAATATTCTAGAACATCTTAAAAATTAAAAATTATTTAATAGTATTCTAGTAACACATACAGTTATTTTAATATTTAAACAATGAAAACAATTTAAGATGATCACTGTAAAAATATTTTAATACAATATAATTAATATAACCACTTAACTCCAACAGTTATTATAAACAATTAACCGAAACAGTTTTATTAATTACCAATTTAATAATTACCAATTTATTCAAACAAATATCCTACAATAAACTTTCCACTTCATCACATATACAAGTATTGTGTAAATAATTAATAAATACGTATGCAACTTTCTAACCTTTCTTTAATCCTAACCCAACAAATTATCCATATTAACAATCATTCATTATTTTCACAATTCTCCGATTTCACCGTTCTTCCGGTCGTTAAAGCCTAGTAGCATCTTTATAAAGAAAAAATGATCTCTCACGTTGTCCCGCTAACCGTGACCCCGTAAGTGTAGCGAGCATAATTAACGGCACCGAGGACGACAGGTTGGAAACTTGTTAATATAACCTTTAATTTCGCGGCAATTGGAACACAATGAGGAGAGATCTCGGCGAGCATTCGTTCGCGTTCTCGTGACACTTATCGCAGCGTCGCGTCGAAGGGAAAGCAGTGTTGACATAAATAGAAACGTAAAATGCAATGGTGCGGTAAGTCGTGTACGTTTTCTAAAACGTTAATCGTCGTCGAAATCGCTTGTTGTCCTTTCGCTTTTCTTCGCCATTTTCCCGCGCTCGAAACGCGCTCATCGCTTCGCGGCGAACTGCTTTCATTTTGCGCGATGCACCTTTCTTTCGAACGAATCAAGATAACAAAAAATGGAACATACATACATATGTTGATTTTATAATTTCATAAGAGAATCTTTCTATTTAATTGCTGGAGTGTGTCACGTAATTGGGACGGCTATATACACGGTGTTCAGATATATAGCGGTTATGTATATGACGTTCAGATATGTAAAGGTCACATATGTGGCCGTCAGATATAAAGCAGTCATATATATAACGTTTAGATATGTAGTCGTCATATTATATAACGTTCAGATATGTAACGGTCACATATATGATATTCAAATATGGAGCGGTGGCATATATAACGTTCAGATATAAAGTGGTCATATATACGTTATATAACATATATACATATTGTTGAGATATGTAGTAGTCATACATGTATGTATATAACGCGCACATGTACAGCATATCATATCATACCGTGTAGATAGGTAGTGGTCATATATCTGACGTTCAATTGCAGGGTGGTTTATGTAATTGTATCAAATCATAACTATGTTATCAAGGTTGATATGAAATTGTGAACTTGAAGATATAGAAAAATAGAAATGAAAGGTTTGAAAAATGGAGATTTGACAATTTGGTTTTTGAAAATTTGGGAAATTGAGAATTTGAAGAATTAAGAATTTGAAAATTGATAAATTTGACAAATTGAAAAACTTGGTATTTGAAAAACTGAAAATTTGGAGATTTAGCAAATTAAAATTTATAGTTAGCAAATTTAAAAAATTCAAAATTTAAAATTTAAAAATTATTTAAATTGAATATTTAGGATATAAAAATTTAGAAAATTGAGAAGTGAAGATTTAGAATTTGGCAAATTAGAACTTGAAAATTTTCAAATTGAAGAATTTCAGAATCTACAAATTTTCAAATTTAAGAACACGAAAATTGTAAAAATTGAAAATTTGACAATTTCAGAATTAGGAAATATAGGACCTCCAAATATAACCTATAATATATGTATAAATATATGAACGCCATATACATGACCGCTATACAAGCGCACGTCATATAAATGACCGCTACATATCTGACCGCCATATATACAATCACTAGTTTTGTAAATGAGCGCTATGTAATATGACGTAACTCGATTTCCATCTCTTTAACTCGTAATAACACGAATATTTTAAATTCCGTTGAAACTATCGGCGTGCGTCTGTAAATCTGTATAAATGAACGAGGTAAGAGTTGAATAAGGAGAAGGTTGAAAATTATCGTGCTGTCTAGTCACGGATACTTGACTGACTACATAACACGAGAAGTCGTGCACCATGGTAAAAGGAGCCGTCCTAAAAGCACAGCATAGAAATCTCTCTCTCTATATGCGTCTCGCTTTACTTCGCATTTTCTACCTCGCTCTTTGCACGCCTCCGCATATTTAATAGCGTTGCAAACCGGCATACCAGAATGTTTCGACTAAGTAAATTTTCATCGATCGTACATCGATTTTAATCGGTCGATTCATTTACTAGCTTCATTCATTTCAATAATTTACTAGATTTTTTCTATTCGTTTATCTATGCACATATTTTACAGATTTTATTCTTTTATTATACAAATTATTAATATTTACTAATATTTATTAATAATTATTAATATATTAATATTAATAATTAATATTTATTAGTAATTTATAATTTGAAAATTTAAAGTTTTTAAATTTTTGAAAAATTAAATTTCAAATCTTAAAAATTAAAAATTCAAATCTTAAAAATTAAAAATTCAAATATTCTATTTCTTCAACTATAAAAATATACAAAACAAACTTATAAATTTCTATCTGTACATTTGAAAATTCAAACATTTGATAATTTTTAAAACTATAAGTTATATTTTTATACATTCACATTTCTTAATTTCCAATTTTGTTTTACAAGTAACCAGAATTTTAAATTCCTAAATATAGTAATTAGGAAATCTTGAAAGTGATAAAAAAGAACTTGAAGTCTACCTTTCATTCCCTCATTTATAACGTGCAGATTTCATCAATAAACAAGATGGATTTCACATTTCAATTACGCGCCAAAACATCTGTATGTTTATATATCAATACACGTTCACGCTAAAACATAGGTTAGAAGTCAACGTACCGTCGCGTCGACGCACAGAATTTTCCGTGTCAAGCCAATTAAAGTTCAATCAATGTTAATTAAAGTGTATACCTAATGTTAATTAAAGATAAATCCCAATAAAATATATCACGGTTTCTATGATTTCTATCCGCGAACGATTATACTGCGCAGAGATCACAATCGTCGAGAAGAATCGGTTATATGTTAATGTGCGATCCAGGTGTCCGCTTACCAATCTCCTGACAAGATTAATTTACGGTTTTGCTCGGTGTATCGCGCTAATTAACGAGCGAAGATAACGATGCATCTACGAAGTATAACGTGGAATAATCGTGAACATAATAAACTCTCTCATCAGTGTAATTGCTGCTTAAGTGACAATGCTGTGAAAATACTTTTTCACTTTATTATGAAACACTTCTGAATCGCATTCCGTAGCTTCATTTAGATTCCAGATGCAAGATTGTTGCTTGGAACACTTTCATATTTTATCGTGCATATATTGCAATATACAGGGTGGAACATACTGCTTGGGAAATCTTTTATATTGTTCGGTATCCGTATAATGTTTGCTCTTATTTTGTTCTTCGATAACCAGATTTTTAGATAGAATTGTTTGTGCGCGTTAATTGTAACATCGCTGCAACATTGCGTTACAGGTTAGGTTCCACAGATGACTTTCCTCTTAAAAGTAAACCTCACTTTCAATTAAAATATTGAAATTAATAATTTAAGAAAATTTTCTTGTTAAATATTATGTTATAAATTTCGCGTAAAATGTCTTACGGTAAGTGCTTTTATGTCATCGTAACATAATATACATGCCTCGAGATCGCTCATTGTTTACTGTAATTGACAGTCACCCATTTGGTATCAAGAGCATAAATGAAGGGTGTACACGCTCATTTTCTTCAAATTGATATGCCATAACTACCATTTTGCTGTAATTATATGTTATCAAATCATGTTAGACTTTCCATGTTTCGAAATCAGCCATCTAGTATGCAATCTAACGCCAACCATTTTCCTTCCACTTTTCTGCAAGTACATTTTTATCTCATGATAAAATTAGAGAAACTGTCACTATTTTCCAAATTTTTTCTATATTTTTTTATTTGACTTTTTATAACTTTCCTTCTTATGAAATTTAGTATTTAACTTAAAATTTAATTCCTTCAGTTAAATTTGTCATTGTTGAACAAAAGTGCACAGAGTGTTTCAAATTTCCCGCCGAAAATGAACACATTCTATTCGTTACAGATTATCCAATTATCTACAAGCTTTTCGATGGAGTGAAAGAACTTCCGTACGTTTCATTAGATTTCTTTTGATACATTGAAGAGAATTTACATTTTACATGGAAATAAGAAATAAACAGCACTGTTCCACTTGACGTAAGTTTAATTTTCAATCTTTAATCTTTAAAATACGAAACACGTGCTGCACAATATTAACTGAAATTAATTATATTTTAGAATGCACACTCGTTCGAATAATAGAAATTTAATGAAGAAAAGGGATTGATTTACTCAGTCGCGGTCGATTCTACGTTCCGTTCGGTGGATCGATCGACCATCCGTAAAAATTTCACCGACGTTCCAGATTTTCGCAACGCAAATGAACGGTCGATTATCGATTGCTCCGCGACCGGTGAAATCGATTCTCAAGATCGCCTATTAAGGGGAGAACGTAATTATTCTGTCGATTATATAGTCGGCGGATATCGGCCGCGACGCGTGTTCCTCTTTTTTTTTTTCTTCCCTCTTTTGTCTTTTCAAACGCCACGCTTCGTTCGTCGTTCTTTCTCTTCCCCCGTGTTACATAAACGGTGGTTTTACGAAATTTCTTTGTGTTCGTCCCGTTTTTAGACTCGTTAGGAACTTCGGTTCCTGTTATCGAACACGGTGAGTTCTTTTCAAATATTTGCTGGTTTGTTGACGGGTCTTTCAACACCTTGAACGTTGCGAGGGTCATTTAGGAGCGTATTGAGATTTTTAGAGAGCTAACGTTTCTAATGAAAGATTTTGGTGAAGCTGTATGTATTTAATTTGTATCATAAATTGTAATATGAGATTTTACTTTCTGAAATGCTATTTTGAAATTTTTAGGTGTTGGAATTTGGTGTATTGGTGGAATTTGGAAGATTGAAAATTTTTTGTTAAGATGTTAGAATTTATGTAGGTATTTGCAAGATTTTACTGTTATTTATTACTGTCTATTGTTATGTATAAAATAATATATTATGATATTTATATTATAGTTAATGTTAATTAATGTTAGTTAATGTTAGAATTATGATATTTATATAAATTATTCAAGGCACAATATCAAAATTAAATTTAAATACAATTCTTTATTCAATGTTAATATTATTATCTATAATTATCTGTAATTATGTATTATTAAAACTAAAAATACATAAAACTACAAATTCTTAAATTGTCAAATTCCCAAATTGCTAAACTCCTAAATACTTGCATCTCCAAATCTCTACACCCTCAGGTCCACAAATCCAAACAATTGTCAAGTTTCTAAATTCCTAACATTTCAAATTCCTACATGCCCAAATTCCCAGGTACTGAAATTTCTAAATACCTTAATCACTATAAACCCCTAGATCCCTAAACATTTAAATCACCAAACTAGAAATCCCTAAATCACCAAACTTGAAAGTCCCTAAATTTCCAAGCTAGCAAATCTATAAATCCCCAAATCCTTAAACATTTAAATCACCAAACTAGAAATCCGTAAATCTTCAAACTTGAAAATCCCTAAATTTCCAAACTTGAAAACCTATAAATCCCCAAAGCCTCCCATATTAAAATCACCAAACTATAAATCCCTGAATCCCCAAACTTGCAATTTCCTAAATCCCTAAATTTCCAAACTAGCAAATCTCTATATCCCCAAATCCCTAAACATAAAAATCACCAAACCATAAATCCCTAAATCATCAAACTCACAAATCCCCAAGTTTCCAAATCTCTCATACGACACCCACTCATCAAATCCTTCGCCTCATTTAATTTCCCGCCTTTTTTCTCTCAATTACAGTCTACTATTTCCCATTCCTGTCATGCACCACCTTATACAATATGGCCACCGTTTATACGAAAATACTATTACGGTATCCACCGTCCAAAGTAAGCAAGTATGTAATACTTATTAAGAGCTTGAACACGATTTCACCGTGAAAAGACATTTTTCAGTATGGCTGTCAGGGATCTCCGGCGAATAGCCACACGCATTTCCGGCGCACAATCGGCCGACTTCCTGTCTCTGTCTAGTTCGTATGTACATTCCATCGTTGTGTTTCAACGACTCTCGAGAACCTTGTGCTTTTCCCATCTTGCAATCACCTCCATCCTCGTTGCTCCTCGAGATTTTTTTTTCTTCCATTGTCAGTCCTGTTTCAGCGTCTCGCAACAACGTTGCTGCAATTCTTGCGATTTCAGATCGAAATCGATGCAGCCGTTGCTCGAACGTATCTGCATTGTCGTGAGCGATAGAAATTTTATCGGAAACTGTATTGGAATTTTGGGATAATAAATATTGAGATAACTAGAGATTTTAGAGGGATTTCAACATCTGATGATTTAGAAATTTTGCTAATTTAAATGTCAATGTTTGAAAATTTGAGATTTGGAAGAATTAAAAATATCTGCATGTGAAAATTTCAATATCTGAAAAATTGTGAGTGAAAATTTTTAAATTTAAAAAATTAATTTTAGAAATTTCCAAATTTCATTAATTGTAACTGAAAATTTTTCTGTTAAGAAAATAGCAATTGGAAATTTCTTTATTGGAAAAAATGTGACTCTGAAAATTCTCTATTAGAAAAATTGTGACCCTGAATATTTCCCTATTAGAAAAATTGTAACACTGAAAATTCACTATTAGAAAAATGGTAACCTTAAAATTTCTTCATTAGAAAAATTGTGATTCTGAAAATTCCTCTACTAGAAAAATTATAACCTAAAATTTCTTCATTAGAAAAATTGTGATTCTGAAAATTCCTCTATTAAAAAAATTGTAACCCTAAAATTTCTCTATTAGAAAAATTGAAACTGAAAATTTCTCTACTAGAAAAATTAAACTTTTAACATTTCCAATTTTCTAAATCCGTTGAACACTCCTAAAAAATCTCAGTTTTGCAACAAATCCACAATCTGTATGTTAACATCACCCATAAACCCCGTTTTTCTAAGAATAGTTCATTTCAATTACACGCTCCTTCGACTCCACTAATTATAACATTCTAATTAAACACCATTCGCGTTGTACGTTTATACCTGCGATAACAAATGCGTTCACCTAATCTCTTTTTCCCTTGTTCCTTAATGGTTCAATGATTTATCGAAATTTTATGGAAGCTCGAACACAAGCATTTTTATTAGCCATCCAATCAACGTCAATAATTAATCGATTGCTGTGGTGACATAACTGTAATTAGTTTCGTATAACAACTTGTCCAATCAATACTCTGAGTATTGATTCAGTAGGTTAGCACAGAGCAATTATTTTAATGTTATTTACAGAATAAAACTATTTACTTTTATGTACAAAGCTATTGTATAAAACTATTTATTTTTATGTAAAAAGTTGTATATAAAACTATTTTACATATAAAAGTATTTGTCCTTATAATATTTGAAAAGATTGTTTGAAACTTTTATTTTTATGAATACATGATATTCAAATTTAGCGGTAAAAAACTGGAACAGTCTTACAGTTTGTTTTACTCCTTCAAATGGGTCCTAACCACTAAAACAGTCACTTCTAATGGAAGAATATACTACTTCAAATTATTTCAGTAAAATTAATGTTAAGTTGGCAATAAAAAAAAATTAATTTCGTCTGTTGGCGACACTGCCTCAAATTCTTTTTCTAAGTTGCTGCAACTTGTCGGAACCGTCGCGTGACAGTTGTCTTTTCGCGCTAAAACCGTAGAAACAATGTGCGCAGTGACCACGCAATGCTAATAATAACTGATCTTCAGTTGTAAATATAGAAAGTGTCATAGTGTGCCCTTGAACCGTTTTCTATCAACTAATTAACGATCTATTACCTACCCCCGAAAATTTCAATTACAACCTCATCGTGACTGAAGCAACGCATCGTGGGAATTTTAATAAAAAATGCGTGCTACACGGCGTTAACATTGTATAATAAGGTCGGTGTATTCGTGAAAGCTTTTAACATCACGAAGGTCGATGTTCTCGTTAATTAATGCGACCGGCATACATACGGCAAGTTGTTCTTGCAAAACGTAACAAATGATTCATCCTTTCACGTAAACTTCTCGTTCAATTTATATAACGATTTGTATGTCGCGTTTATCAACCGGGCTAATTAATTCTTATCTTTCATCGAACGTAACCGTATTAAACAACTATATATGCTCGTTTATGGTCGTAAGAAAGGAATTTTTAATTACGTTTTCACAGAACTTTCAATTTGGTTAAAGGACTTGTAGAAATTTTCTTGGATTAATACTTTCTTTATATTTGTATAGGTTATGAATATTTATTATTTTGGAAAGATTTTAGATTTGTTTTAGGTTCTCTTAGAAAATGGGATGCTAGAACAGAATAGTAGATAATTGTATTGTTAAATTAGTTGCAAATTTTTTATTGGGACAAGTTTGAGAATTTACATACAATTTCATATTACTGAATTTATAACCTAATATGTATATTTAATATATTAATATTTTAATACTATTTATTAATGAAACATACTTTTTTTTATATTTCATACTAAATATCAAGTACTTTATGTCAACCTGAGACTTGATTACTTTTAGTAATACTTGCATGAAAATAAATTTATTGAAATTGATTTCTTTATGGGGCTTTTATGAAAGACACTACTTTAGTTAGCAAGGCATGTTAATGTAACACTCTTATATTAGTATACTATACAATATATATTTACTTAGATAAATAAATTAATTTGTCTGTTACTAAATACACTTTCCTAGCCAATTACTGAAACACTTACCTCCAGAAGACAATATTTATTAATTAGTTTCTAATTCTAACCTAATTAAAAATTAAATTTAAGTACTAATTCCAGAAATTAATAAAAATATGCAATATAAGACAAAATAAAAATCTCTGTAAACAGATACCAGAATTATATACGAATTTCCTTAGTATTTTTCAAGAATAGTTAATATGAAAGAATACTGTCGCAATAAAGCATTCACCTTCCGGATGTACCCATTTCATTATTCAGTCGACATACATCTACGATAATTTATCTTCTGAAACAAGGAAGTTATTCACCTATTTTCTTCGTTCAAAAAACGTGTATCGAAAAAACCATAATACAATGACCAGAACCGAAGGTAATTAGATGATCCAAAGTCAAAAGAGTACGTCGGATAGTACACTTCCGTTTCGACAAGTAGCGTTCGCTCAACCCGAAACAAAATGGCGGACCGCGTAATCACGGAACAAAATGTCTTCGCGTCGTTTTGTCGCACAAATTACAAATTTCTCTCCAAGCGTCTAGTTCGAGTAATTCAGTCGCTCTTCGCAGCGTTTCTCCGTGATTTTCCCATCCGGTAGGAGCTCGCAAAGTACCTTTTCATCCCATCGGATACAAAACAGCTTATGCCCACGAATGTTGCGCTTCGGTGTCGACGTAGACAATCGTTCGGGATCTACCCATGATTCGCTGCGCTTAGAATTATCGTAGACCCATTTTCACCCCCCGGATTTGCCGCAAAGTCTCTTCAGAAGACAACGTCCATGATGCGAGTTAACACGACTTCCACTTTCTGCATCTCCCGCGGTAAGTAATTAATTGGAAACGTTTCATATTGTCGCATGACAGGTTTTTAACCGTATCAACTTTTTCATTGAAAAATTCTTTTCTACTCTTGCTAATACGATCTATAAATTATTTCACAACGTTTTATACGCATTTACTAATTTCTCGCGTAAGAACTTAATTCTACACGTTTTTGTCTGTCACGGAAGGTGAAAGTGTCCGGATACTTCACTACAATGTATAGAAATAAAAATGAACGTTCGATCGCATTCGAAATCGAACACGGAGGAAGGAATTCTCCCGCTCCCGCAGCAATTAATCAGGAATCAGGAAATGCAGCTAAAGAATTGCAGACTCGTTCCTACATTTTACATAAATCAACGCAAAAGAATTTCTTTCGCCAAAAGCGTCGAACTCGGTCCGCATCGGAAGAATAATAGATCCTTCTCTTAGGCGGTCGAAGCTTTCA